GCCTCTGTCTTCTGCATTTTAGTATGCGGGCAGCGCCTGCCATTCCACCAGCCTTCAAAAGGACCTTAGCCACAGCAATTCCTTTTAGACACCCACCCATCCAGGAGGGATGCATTCAATGGAGCCAATAATTCCTCCTATTCAGTATCATTTCGATTGCAAGCGCTTTAGTGGAATGACCTTCCAGCCCTGTGTATACTTGTTCTCTTAATACTTGTTATTATAAGAGCCAAATAAAGGCTCTTATAATAACAGTAATAATTATAGTATTTTTCAAGCATTGAACCTGGGCTCCTGGTTATCAAGGTCATAGCTCTTTAGATAAACTGATCTCGTTGCCAGCCTCCAGTAAGTCACAGTAGTTTGACTTTTGAGTGTATAAGCACACACACACTCAAACACACACCAGAGTCTAAAACTGCAGGGACACTCTGTAGGGAAGGGAAGGGAAGGGAAGGGAATTCAGCGGGGTCAAAAGAAATCAAAGCTTGGAAAAGTTACTTTGGGGGACTACAGTGGCCATCCTGGCTGGAGATTCTGGGAGTTGTAGCAACATTTCCGAGAACTGGCAGCAAAAGAGCAGCTCAAATGTATAGGTTTTATTAGAGGATTGTAAGAGTATCTCATCTAACAATCTGCCAAGCTCATTCCAGACCTAGTCCCCCTTTCTTAAGCTTTTATATATATTGGCCCACAACTCCCACCAACCCCTGGCAGCTTCCTTTTGTTCTGCTTCCTGGTTTATCCTGACTTCTATCTCTGTTCTGACTTCAGGCTTTACTCCTTTACTGTCACCTCCTGGCTCCTTCTCCTTGCTCCATCTTGGTCTACTGCATGTGTTCCATGACTGAGAGATGGCTGGTTTCCGAAAAGTTGACATCTAGCCTTTTGGAAACCATCCAAGCCTCTCTCCCATTTCCCAGTGCCTCCCCCGATTGATAGAAATGGGATGCAAAGACATAAAATCATAGAATCCTGGAACTGGAAGGGGGCCTCATGGGCCATAAAATCCAATACGATCTCCAGCTAAAGCATCCCCAGCCTCTTTTTGAAGACATCCGAAGATAGAGATGCCACCATCTCTGTAGAGTAGTGATTCCCAAACTTTGGTCCTCCAAGTGTTTTGGACCTCAACTCCTTGAAGTCCCAACCACCTTGGTCAACAGTCAGGAATTCTGGGAGCTGAAATCCAAAACACCTGGAGGACCAAAGTTTGGGAATCACTGCTCTAGACCCTTGGTTCCACTGCCAAACCCCTCTCGCTGTCAAGGCATTCCTTAGAAGGTTCTGTTGAAGTCTTCTCCCCTGTACATGACCCCTGTGTTCTTCTCTCCCTCCTTTTGTGCACCCCCCCCACACCTCCTGTGGATCTGTCAGTGCCACAGGTTTGCAAAGCTCTGCTTGGAGCCTGCCGAGGTCAGAGCCCAAACCCAGCAGCGCTTCTTCCCTTCCCCTTGAGGTAGCCCTCCTGCATCTTTTCGGCCCAGATGCTCCGCCACCATTTTGACAAGCTGGCAGTTCATCACCCAGATAAAAGGTTTAGATCCTGCACCCCACCCTCTGTTTATTGGAAGAGCTGTCACAGGGGAGATTTTGCAGGTTTCTGAAGGCAGGTGAATGCCAGAGTCAAACGTGACTCCGGGGCAAGTTGCACAGGGTTGGAAAAGAAGGGACAAGGGGATGTGTGTGTGTTTTGGGTTCATTCTCAAAGGGTTCAAAAATGCCTTGGGAATGACAACTTAATTCTGACGGCTGGAGAGTGATCGGCAATCCCTTGCCCCTTAACAGCAGCTTTTCCCCTCCACTAACTGATGGGTCCATTTAACCTCTGCCATTACAAGAACCTTTCCATCCATTATATTTCATAATGTAAATCGAACAGAGATTCCAATACCGTTTTTTTTTCAAAGTCTGGGAATGTGACGAGAGATGAACGGCAAGCTTCTAAAACTGTTTCATACCCACATCCATCCACACAATACTTTATGTCAGGGATAAGGAACCTGGGTGCTGGGTCTTGAAGGTTCAGTCCCATCAGCCCCAGCTGGCAGGGCCGATGGCCAAGGAGGATAGGAGTTGTAGTCCGACAATATTAGGGATGAAAGGAATATTTGATAGCATTTGGAAAATGGTCAAAAATGAATTTTTTGAGTGTGGGGAAACCTGATAAGGAGAATCTTGGGCTGATGAGAATCTTTGCAGTTTGATACTTATTTTGTGCAAAATTCGCTCATGCTTTTGTTGGGCAGAAAACAGCATTGCCCATGCAGGAAACAGGGTTTTTTTTTCTGTACAGAAAATGTTTCCTCCATAGAAAATGCTGTTTTTAGTGTCCAAACAACAACAAACATACATACATGCCAATTTTGCATGAACCATTTTGAACATTTTCTCACAGGCGGGGAAATGCTGAAATTACTTATTGGTTCCTTTGAGAATGATGTTTGCAAAGAATTACATCCTAAAAGATCTGGGGGTGACTGGCTTTTTGTGCCCCTTGTCTTACCCCAAAGGTGAGAACTGTGAGGTCCTCTGGATGTTAAATTGCACCTCCCAGCATTCCTCCCCATTGGGTGTGCTAGCTAAGCCTGCTGGGAGTTGCGATCCCACAGCATCTGGAAAGGTGTATGGTTCCTATCCTTGAAGACTGGCTCTTCCACAAGCTATCCAAGATGAAGGATGCTGGATGAAGATGTTAGAAGCATGCCCCTTTTTTCAACCATGAAACGATGGATTTTACTTAGTTATCTTATTTACTTTTATACGCATTAATAAAACTCTACTTTTGGACTTTACAATGTGTCTTCTTGACT